CCCGATTTAAATCCTCTAGACTTTTTATATGGTGATTTTATAGGGGATAGTCTATACGTCTAAATATATAAATGTCAACCAACTGCGCCAGAAAATTGATGGAGCAAAAATAAGTATTATGGAAAACGCAAATTCATTTCAAAGAATCAAGGACAATTTTATTAGGTGTCGCTTGTGTATAGAAAATAATGGATGCCATTTCGAACATGTTCTTTAAAAGTTAGTTAAACTGAATTATCTTCCACATTTGTCGGAAAATATCCATAAAGAGCGGCTAAACACAATAAGTTCTGTACTTGTAGTTGGTAAGGATTCTATTGCGTTTCTTACGTTTATCGCATCGCAACAACGAATATGACATGATACACTCATCGTAGCAAGCTGAAATTTTCAGGCTTCATTCTACATGGATTGAAATAGTTTTTACAATAAAATGAATAATGAAATACAACCTCAATTTTTTTACCGCCCTCCAAAGTTGAGAGATGGAAGAGATTTTTCACAAAAAAATTAATTTAAGATGTTTTGCGTTAATTTCTCATAAGCTCGGTTAAAAAGTGACAGCCATTGCTAAAAACTGTCCATTTAGATCATTTCAGAATAAAAATCACAGCTATAAACCTAATGGTTTAGTTGTAAGTGCGATTGAAAGTTCATTATCCAGTTTTTTTCGAAATTTCACAGAATTGCGAATATCTCCTGAGGATTTCGGACCACACATGTAGAGGTTTATTCGATAGGTTCTGAGGCCCTCTATCACCTGACCTCCGTTGATCCACTTCTAACTTTACACCCTGTATAGATTTGTATATATATATACAAATATGTGTATACTATTCATAGTTATTGTCACATACATAACAAATTACTAATTCTTTGTCGAGGAGTTGGCACTGCAGATTATGGAAGACAATTGAACCAATCAGCAATTCCGACCAAACAACTTCCAAGAATCACCTAAATATGATTCTATGTAATACATACAACTTCCATGATATCTAAGTGACAAATAGTCTGTGGAAATCTGCATTATTTTATTAGAAAATTATAAGTACTTACCACGTCACTCAATACTCTCAGCTGACATGCTTCGTCCATTACGTTCTTAATTCGCATAATAGATGATAGATTGGTGGTAGAAATATAGATTTTGGTGACTAAGGGTCTAAATAAGATGTCTTCATTATAAAACATTTAATATACCGACTTGTATTGGAAACAATTGTATTTGGATATGCAGGATCGCAATTAAACAGCACAAATATAACGAAGAACAGCTCGTCCACAAGACACGTTCTCTTATCACACTTATTCTCTATTTTATGTTCCTTTGCATAACCTCTTCAAGAACTCAATTCAATAATTTGTGACTGATAATTGAAATATAGACTGCCATATAAGGTCATTGTGCCATTACTCGTCATTTTTTTGTGCTAGCTTAGCAAGTTTAGGCCAGACATTTTAATCATACCAATTTTGCAGTTATCTGATCAAATCAATGTTCAACTTGCGCATGCTGTTTAAAGAAGTTTACCGACCTTGATGACGCGAAGCTATAATATAACATATAATTTGAATCTATGGAACTGCCCAATTTTATGAATTAGTAGATATTATCTACGTATAGAATAATGATTCTAATAATTCGGTAAAGTTTCAAAAAATATATACACGTTGGGCAAAAGTCAGTTGTACTCGTGGTCTTTTCTATTTTAGACCTGTGAAGACATGCCTTTTAGAATGTTAAAAAATATAACTGCAGTGCTGACGTTACATATCTTCTTTCTTTATGTTTGCGAGGTATGTAAGAAACTATTAGTGCCATCAGTTTTGTATTTTCGTATCAATATCTAATTAATTTAATTGTACAGAGTTCAAGCTGACGGCATTGTCATCACAAACACTATACGAAACCCAACCAGCTTGGGAAATGGTAAATATGTCTAGAGTTTGTCATTGCTATATCAGGATCACCATCAAACTGCACGAAATAACCGCGAGACAGAAACAAATATTAGAAAGTATACCTACTCAGCGGCAAAGAAAGTAGAATACCCAGTAGAAATTACACATAATCCAAAGAAAGTTGTAATCATTCCATCGCTGGATTTTCTTAATAATGTGCTGGACCAATCCATTCATACTACCGTTGACGCATGCTTCTGATGAGGGTTCCAAGGTAGGTGTATGGTTCCGAAAAGCTTTTAGCATTTGTGGACGTTGAGGTAAAGAAGTCATTTTTCGTCCCATCATATTCCACACATGTTCAATGCACAAAAGGTCTAGAGATCTAGTCAGTCAAAGGAGCCTGAGTGATACGCACGTTATTGAGGTGATATAGCTCCAGAAGTATGGAGGCTGGCATGATCTTGGTAAGAAATAAGATTTTCAAGCGTTTGGAAGAACCAAGTTAGCAGCTCTTCGGAATCATGTAAAACTTGCTAGGGATGATATACTACAAAAAGGAGTAAGTCGCCTCATCAGAAGCATGCCTCGACGACTGGACAAGTGAATCAGTTATTTGTGAAACCCCATATGTCCAAAAATAACAATCGCGAGAAAAGTTGAAAAAACTGTTATATGCAAAAATACCTTAAATCATCATGACAACAAGTAAAAAAATATGAAGTTTGATTGCTTGTACGAGAGTTTTTTGAAAAAATGACAAAAAAACTTTTATGTATCTTGAGGAAAAAAAGACTTGGTCAATTTTCATCCACATCGTCATCGGTGCCACCAACAGTTGGCCATCCAAATATCTCCCTATAGAAGTTTTCGATTTCTTCAGCTTTTTCTACGATGAATTTTTCGAACTTTCTGATGCTTACCATCTTTTTTGCACTAATTGGGACTTTTGAGTTAGGGTATGCGACCACTTCGGGAAAAGTTCTAACAGCAGTAGATGTTCCCAACCTAAATTCGTGCTTTATTAGGCCATCAATGAAGTCACGAGCAGTCACAATGCCCTTTTCATCATTGCTGTAGCTGAAGTGCATGAAATTTGAAATCGAAAATGAAATTTTATCTTCTTTTCTATCACCCCTTTCATAAGATTCTGTGGACAAAGAATTTTTTTTGTAGAAAAGGGGCCACCATTTCTTATAGTCTTTGATCAATGTATTCTCTCCATCCATTACGTATACGGAAAATTTATTTTTAGTGCTTGAGTTGAGAATCAAGGAAACATAATCTTTTAGCAGATAAATTCGGTAATTTTTCTTAATTTTTGTACGAATGGCCTCTCACTGGGAAGTATTGGTTCACAGTCTTGAATCGTCCAAGATCTGTAAGACCTAAGCACATTCTAAGAACTGAATGGTTTTTATTCTGACCACCGCATCCGTCAGAAAAAATATGGAAATGTTCAATGTTTGCTGGAACTTCATTGTCTATAAAGTACATAATGAAGGAGCATACCTCGTTTGGTCGTTTTTTGCCCATACTTTCGTGATATACATGAAACATAGTTTTTCCAGATTTTAGGCCGTGGATATTGAAGACATTGACAGTTAGTTGATGAAGGTAAAATGTGTCTTCGACCGGAATAACAGGAAGTACAAGATTTTGCATGTAGTCCACGCAAATTGCTCCTACTCTGGGATCTGTTTGGCATAACTCTTCAATCGACTTCATCTTGCTGTAGAATTTTTTGGCTCTTCTTTGGTGAACTATTTTTTCCGGCACAGCTACACGTTTAGCAACATCGTTCAAGGCCTTAGATTTAATTTTGTTGGAAAGCTCCTCACAGGTGCAGCAGGTGTCGACCTGTGGTCTGCCGAAAGACAAGCTGAAACGTTCCTTGAATATCTTGTGGTAAAAGCTATACTTTACAGATGATTCGGGATCGTTTATAAGAAACAATTCATGCATTTTTTTATATCCAGCTTCTCACTAAGGTAGTGATAGTCACGGCTACCATAATGTGACCTTTTAACTGGAAATGAACTAATATGCTCCTCTACTTGCCTGACCACCTGTCCAGGTTTTGCATTCCCTGGGTTTTTTTTGCCTCTTCTATCATTAGGTGGCTTTCCCATTGATAATAACTTACTCAAGCGACGAGCACGGTCTACAGTGACTCCATGGATACTAATAAAAGTTGTTTTGCATACACGGTACTTTCCCGAACTGGAAGACACATAGTATTTGTATGATTTGCTTTTTGGCTTTGCATTATTTTGGTCTACTCTAGGTCGTTTCCTGGAAATCTCTGAGCCCTCTATTAGAGCCTGCATATATGCATCTTGTTCGTTTCTCGTCTCTAGAGCATAAAATTTATCAACAATCTCTTGCCGCTCATCTTTTTATCAAAACAGCATGACCTACAAAAAGTGGAAAATGAGATTTTGACCGACAAAACCAAAATGACTCGTATTTCTCTTACCGGCATGGTTCACCTGTTGTCCGCTGATTTACTTTTATGCCTTAGTAATTCAGATATTCTTTACCTCTCACTCGTGCACCTTTAATCACGTCATTTTTATAAATAACTTATTTCTGTCCCTTTTTGCGTTTTTTTGGGAATAACTTCCGCGGAAAGGTCATCGTCGCACGAATACATAGAAGATAGGAGCCGTTTATTAAAGAAACACCACGTGTCCTGGACTTGTGGAGTTTCTCAAATAAATCTATATTTTGAACTAGCGCTGGCAGCGTTATATCAGTTGGACATATGCGATTTCTCTCCAAAACGTGCAGAGAATATACCATGGAGGTCAAAAAGTCAAAATGTTGAATTTATGGACATGAGGGGTTTCTCAAAGAAGCGATTCAAGTGTATGCAGCATCAAGGTAGACCAACACATTATTCACGGAATCTACCAGCATCGTAAATGCTTTCACTCCACAATTTAATTACATCATCTTGTTTATATCTAACTTCATTCAAAATATTATTCAACAGGGCCATTTTCACTGGATGTTCTCTCTTTATCACTGAGTGTAATTTGTTGTCTATTGGACATATCGGTAGTATGAATTAAACGATTATGTCAGTTTTTAGCTCTGTCAACAAAAACAATAATGCTATACAAGCAAATATACTTTAGATATTTAATTCTCCTTTATTATATATCTTTTGCTACCTATTTTTTAGCACTGCTCGCTTATTAAGAACAACGACTGAAATATTTTACTACGCCACATTTTTATCTATCTATGGAAACCCACTTTATTATCTGGTGGTAAAGTCTTTTGGTTTTGCAGTCGACTTTGAGAATCACAAGATACGAAGGATCTTGCAAAGAGTACCCAAATACAAAAATGCACTATGTGAACATACAATTGAAAAACATTAAAGGTAACACATTTCCAAGCTACACCTTGAATGTTACAGACACTGTTCCAGACATAACTAAGGTGAGTCTCTATTATAAGGTCCAGATACGGTGGCATTAGCCACCCATATAAAACCATGAACAAAGTACAGTTTGTGTAGAAGCTCGTTGAAAAATGAAGGCTTAAATCAATGTTGAATCATAATCTAAAGACGGGTTTTTCTTATGATTTTGATAAACGTCTCAACAAAAAAATACCTGTTGGCAATGGTGTAGTATCGAAATACCCCTCCTACTAGTTATCAGGGGCAGATTTAAGATGAAAGGTATACGTTCTATTTAAAAATATTGTCGAATTCTGAATTGAAAGGTAGTGATGTTATATTCTAGGATTATGGCGTAGTCATTAGGATCTTCAGAAGAAGTAATCAAGCTACCCTTCATTCCATTTCAAGTAGGAGTAAAGTAGTAAATTACATGTTACTGAGTTTTAATTCGCGACAATTTAAGACGGAATGTCGTTTATTTTAGGTCTCAACAACAATTGTGATCTAAAATCACATTCAAATGACTCTATAAGGTCACTTAGTAATAATCATTCACCTCTGTTCTGTCGTAATAACGCTATCTGCTTAGTTCGAAAAAATTCAGAATTTTGAAATACATTTTCTCGAATTTCGATTTTTACACTTTATTGCCTTTTACCTAAGCACGGCAGTAAAAGCCTAGGCACAGGAATTCACTGGTGATTTAACAAACAATGAAATAGTGTGCCACTGTCAATTATTTGTAAAACGAAAGGTTGATTTGAAATTGTGAATTGTCGATTCCTCAAGATTTACAGTAAAGCATAATAATAGTAGATATATTGATTTCCCTGTCTAGATGGTTATGGCTCTTGTAAGATGTCCCAATCTCCATTCAAGAGATTACTGTGAAACTGGGAGAAATATGACTGTAAAAAATTTTGGTCATGTGTTAACAGACAAGTCATCTACTTGGAGCCACAATTTGCAATTCAAACCGCCTTTAACATTTCCCCTGAAACCGGTAAGTCATATGTAGTTATATAAGCCCATTTGTCCTTATAAGAAGTCTAGGTGCAGACCTACGGTTTCATATTTGTGCTTTAACTTCTATTAAAGGGTCTTACAGACACATAAATTATTATTTAATTAATAAACATTCTTTATTTGGAAATATCCAACAAATTGCAATTACGGTCCTATGTCAGTTTTTGCAAAAACATTTTCTATAATAATTGCTGAGCTTACCATAAAATAGCTAGTCACCAAAAACGTGTTCAAAAAGCCAATCAGTTTTCACACAACGTTAAAAAACTTTTGATTTCATAGGGTTTATACGAGTATGCTTCTGATCTAACAAAAGCCCGGTATCCAATAACAGTTGAGAAGTCTTCCTGGATCGCTAAGATACTGATGTACTATGAAGACGAGGTGCTGTTATGCAACATATGTGAAGGCGATATATTTTAATGAAGTGTAATTTTGGCTGTTAGGCCTTCGGTAGCTTTATTGTGCTTACCTATTATCTTTATGATCGTATTTCTTCTGGATAGTACTTGTAACTAGGTGGTTCAAGGTGTCATAGATAACTAGTAAAGTGGTGTTACGAGTTTTTGATAAAATAACTATTTCATGGGGCATATTAGGTTGGCAGTCAAAATAGTTGTGTTGTGGCCTTCATGGTAACATTTATGCAACAAACTCAAGCCTTGTTGTTTTAATGTGCAAAGTACTACTTTAGCCTACAAGTCGGTCTCAACGCAAGCACTTATACAACCACCGCTTAGTAACTGTTAAAGGGCAACAATATCACAACTGTTCTAGTTCTAGTATAGTTTTAGAGGTTTTAAATATTAAAATAGAAAGTATAGATCTGCTACAAACCCTGAATAAAGCATTTGACTCTGTCCGTATTTTATTCAACGAATTTGTCAAATATAATATGGAAGATACCATTATTATACATAGCCACCCGCCATATTGGGTGAAAAATGGATTCCCTTCTTGAATCTCAAATAATTCAGTTTCACTCTAACATTACAGATATGAAATCATAAACATTACAGTAAATGTGTCCCAATATAATATTTGTGAAAGATTTAACGCAGACAAGTTCTGATTTTCATTTTAAAAACCTAGACATATTTTTGATTATTGATGAAACATATGGCCAGACCACAAAAATTGCCAGTTTAGATGCTCCATAAAGGCGGACGATTTGCTGTAGTCCGTACCTATTTTGATCTGATCATTCCGTCAGACTAATTATATTAGACGAAAATACCCCTGGTTTGCGAAATAATGGTAAAGTCTAGTTTTATTGCTGCAAGTTGTTCAAGGGGGTATTCAAATCATGGACGCATAAAATGGGTACACCAATTTTTGTGGGAAAACTTTTTATTCGTCAACAAAGAATGAGAAAACGTGTTTTTTAGGACCAATCGAAAGTGTTGGCAGTAACGAAAAAACCCTTCATATAAGATTTTTAGGTATTTATGAGACCTACAAAATGAGACCACACGTAAAAATTCCGACTAATAGCAAAAAAGTTATGGCCGAGAACCGAGGCAAACTGCAGGATTTGACATTTGTTGATAAAACGACGATGGTTTCTCGCAGATTTTTGAAATTCTTCAAATTCTTAGGACTCTTACTTCTAAATAACCATGACGAAATTGGAGTAGATTGGTCAAGAAGTTTTTGAGAATCTCTAATTGTTTATCCCAAAACACCTGTCTTCCGGCCACCACTACTAGCTTATTGATCAATATACAGGGTTTATTCAAAGAGCATTTTATAGCAAAATACACCATGCCGATATGAATTGCAAACCATTCCGGAAGATAAATGTTATTTTTATGCATTTTGACTCGTCCTTCGGTCATAACATTTTTGCTATTTTTACGTGTGGTCTCTTTTTGTATGTCTCATAAATACCTAAAAATCTTATTGGAAAGGTTTTTCGTTTCTGTCAACACTTTCGATTGAATCCAAAAACACGTATTCCCATTCTTTGTTGTCAAATAAAAAGTTTTTCCACAAAAATTGGTTCACCCATTTTATGCGTCCATGATTTAAATACCCTCTTGAACAACTTGCACCAATAAAACCAGACTTTATAATATTATTTCGGGGAAATTTGCTAATATGATAGGACTAATAAGAGAATTTCAATTGTCCATGACGCGGTGGCAGCATGATATCGTTAGTAGTTTGCCTATTTTCGTCCATGTCTAGCTGGGATTATCTCATGGTGAGTCTCAGTTTGCTTGAAACATACTGCGAAACGCAGACATTTTCTCTGGCAAAGTGTTTTGTTCTCCAAACGCTAAACAGCCCGTTTCTTGAAATCAAGCATGTACCTGACAATCGTTGTTATTCAGCAATTTGGGTAAGGTTGGCTATGAAGTTATTATGCATCAACTACCATGATTCAAGTGAACATGTTTTGGTTAAATTCTTATATAATTTGGCCTAATCTTGCAAGTGTTGTCTGTTGTGAACATAATACTTCATAATTTGACGTTTGCAGCGCATTTGCTGTTTACTTATCTCTCAGTTCTTTGTATTACCTATGAAGTATAAATAATATTATCACGTATAGATACTGTTACTGTAAACTGTTAGAACATGTTAGGTATTACAAATAATACATGTCGCCGGAAATGCTGCAGTCAGCGGAGCAATACCTAGTAACAAGGATTATAGATAGAATAAAGTTAGGAGAATTTTTAATCAACAAATTTGATGCACACAAGGCACAGTAACTCAAATCCTTTAAAATCGCTCTCCTTTATCGGCTTACGTATGATAGTGAACTGTAAACTTACTTCGAGCTTTTGCATCTGTCGTGATAACAAAAATCGATTAAAATGGACAAACATCGATTATATGGAAAAAATAATCGAGTACACCTAAGCTCTATCAGTTCAGTTTTATTTTAAGGTTTCAGAGTAATAAGTAAGGCTGTGATCGTGATTAAAACTTTGTTTCCATTGCCCAAGTATGTTCTCATATAAAATGTTACAGTCCCTACTTTAAATTGTCCAGTTTTTTACCTCCATTCAATGGTTAAAAGTGTGAGACCAATAGGACATCACAAATAACACCAGAAACAGCTTGTCGACAACACCCATTCTCTTATCGCTGTGATTTTATGCTCTCTTTCAGTTGCATTAACTCTTACTGTTCAGTTTAATAATTAATAATAATAAAACGTCTTTTTATTCGGGCAAACTTTAGCTTAAGCTATTCCTCCACTTAACACAAAAAACAAATATATACATGAATAAAATAGATAAATGACAAAAAGACATAATACTATAACAAAAGTATTATAAGCATTAAGTATAATTACTCATCACTGAATAAATACTATTTTTATAAGCAGAAGTGAAAGATAAGTATTTTTAATTTTGGCACTCTAAAAAAGATTCTTGATATGTCTTTTAGAGTTATCAAATGTTAAAGATTTAATGTCAGAAGGTAATGAATTATATGGTTAAGTCGCATTAAAGGTGAGGCCTTTATGGAAAAATGAAGTTACGTGGATAGGCTTGGTGAGTGTATTTGGGAAGCGAATATTTCTAGAATGAACACACATACAAATTAGTAGTTTTTGATTTAAAAACGGAGGTAATGAGGTGATTTGGAGTTTATGAACATAACATAGTAAGTGATATTTATATAATTTTGTATTATTCAACCAACCTAGTTTTTGAAAAGATATCGAAATATGGTCGTACTTTTATAATTGGATTCAAGATTAAATGCACGTGGAGGCCAGATATGGTCATTGTATCATTACTCGTCCTTTCATTGTGCTTGTTTAGTTAGTTCAAATTATATAGCGATTATAATCATATTCGTATTTTGCAGATAACTGACCAAATCATTATTCAACTAAATCATACTGTTGATGACGCTAAGGTATAATCAAACATATGATATATATGATCTTTGGAATTATCCATTTTTCTAAATGAGCAGATAATATCTAGAATAATGATTCTAGTAATTCCGTAGGATGACACAAAATGCACATTGGACACACGTTAATTGTACAGTCATTCATGGTTGTTTCCATTTTCCGGGCTGTTGAGATATGAATTTTAAAATGTTAAAAAATATATCTATGAGGTGGTGTGCGGTTCTTACGTTACATATTTTCTTTCCATATGTTTGCGAGGTACGTAAGAAACCATTATACTTACAATCAGCTGTGTTTTAATTTATTTGTTTGGCTCTCATAAGTTTAATTATCATATTCATGACAAATTAAATTCATTGTGCATAGTACAGGCTGACGGCATTGTCATCACAAGCACTATATCAAATACAATCGGTTTGGAAAATGGTACGTCTGTTTGTGGTTGCTATATCATGATCACATAGGGCACTGCGATAGTACATCACCAAACTACGAAGTGACCGCGAGACCGAAACTTAAGCCTGTCACAAAAATTGGAAAATATATTCAGTGACAAAAAGGGTAAAACACCCATCATGTTCAGCGGGCGAAAGGTCTCGTGATATAGGAAGCCGAAGAAGGAGGCTGACCTAAGCGTTCTCTACTGCTCTAGCAGTATGGGGACGGGCATTATCTTGTTAGGAGCTCTCAAGCGTTTGGAGACACCAAGTTAGCAGCTTTTCGGAATCAAGTATAGCTTGCTTGCGCTATCAAAAGGCATGTCAGCTCGTCAGATGCATGATCTGATGACTGGACGAACGCATAGGCGAACCAACACATTATCAGCGAAATCTAGCAATACCGTTATTGGTGTCACTTCAAAATTTAATCGCAACTTCCTCTTGCTTATGGCTAACAGTGTACTAAGTTTTATTCAAAAATCATTTTCATGTTCTGTTCTCTTTGTCACTGAGTGAAGTTTGTTGTTTATTGGTCATATCAGCAGTATAAATTATACCGCTATACTATTTCTTAGCCCTATCCATAAGACATATAACACTGAAGAGGTGGGAGCTGTCAGATGGTGGCGCCACCTACTTGCCTGGAGATCTGGAGTAACTATCGAAGAATGATTTGAAGTCTGCTGAAAATGATATTTCCTATATTGAACGATTATTTATTTCATGAACGTAGATTCATAAAATATTCCCAACAAGGGTAGTATAGCTTTCATTACTTTTGCTGGGAACACGTTTCAGGATAATTAAATGTAATGCTGATTCATATGCACAAAATACATGTATTTCGAACAAATAATCTCAAGGAAAGACGTTTCACCACCTTGGCCCTATCTACAAGAGCAGTAATGCTATAGAAGTAAATCCACTTCAAACATTTAACGCTTCTTTTTCATATTTTTGTTCATTCTTGGAAACCAGCTTCAACTATCTTGCGGTAAAGTCCTTTGGTTTTGCAGTCTACTCTGAGAGTTACGAGATTCGAAGGAACATGCAAAGAATACCCAAATACAAAAATGCAATTTGCAAATATACGATTCAAGAACATTAATGGTAACCTATCTCCAAGCTACAGTTTGAATGTTACA